CCCCAAAACCCCAAAACCCCAAAACCCCTGTATTAATTTAAAATTGAAAATGGATCTTTGGAAAACTCTCATGAATTCTCTGAAACAAAAATTTGCAGTGAAGAAAGAAGCCTGAGGTTGGGCAACTAGGCCTAACATTAGAGTAAGCAACAAGATATGGCTGATGATAGTTATCTTGGTGCATTTTGCATGTGTCAAAGCAGATAAGCAAGTATTCATGGGCATGGAGGATACCGAGAAGAGGACAAACATAATGAAAGAGATGGTAGATGAGTATGCAATAGATGGGAAAGTAGCACTTGAGTATAGAGAAGAGAAAGGGACATATACTGTTACCTCCAAGGATATTAAAAACCGAGAGGATACTATCTGGCTGCCACCAAGGACAATAATGTCTGTTTATGATGAGATTCCGTTTAAAGCAACATTGATTAATGCTCTTTCTCGTATTCCTGACACTAACAACTTCCAGCCTTCTCCAAATAATCCTCAGGATTTCTATAGCTCTACTGTGTTGCTAGCAATTCAGCTACTGATGAACGTCAATGTGAATCGCTCAACTTTGGATTCCAAATTCCCTGAATACAAGAATGTTCCTCTATACATAGAGAATTGTAAAGTTTGTCATGATTACGTCTGGAGTTTGCCAAGTTACAAGGACATGGACCATCCTAACCAATGGGAGCAGGAAGACCATGACTTTTACAATAAAATCTCTTTTACCAGACTCGGATTCAGGGACATCAAACTATTTCACAAGAAACTTATTGATGCTTTGCATGCAGAGAATACCCCAGAGAGTCTGTTTGTTGCCAAGGAGATTGTATTCGACATGAAACAGTACCTCTGGGCTTATAATATAGTCAACACCAGGTTAGGCCATTAACATTATATTTTAGATGCTTTATGCTCAAGCTGGAGAATTATAAGAAACTTTATGGAGAGAACTATGGGAGCATTCTGAATATGGCAATCAATCAGAAGCTAGTGCCACAACAAAATAATGCTCTGCTTCCGATAATGGATTATCTTAACATGATCGTTCCTCAGAAACAAGACTTTGAAGAACTTTCAACTGAAGGTGAGTCGGCCAGAATTAGATTTTAGAGGTTAAGAAGCAATATTTGAGGAGATTCTACCTCATTGTTAGAGACCAAAAGTTATACCTTCAAGTTCAAGGGGACTTTAAGCAAGGGCAAGAGTATGGATTTGCCTATACCACAGATCTTGTGTGAAACTCACTGATCTCAACATATGGATTTGCAGTAAAGGATGGAGTTGGTCAAATAATGACACTGAGTCTCGTCAATGAAATCCCAGCTAAAAACTATAAACTCTGAGCAGTCCTTAATTGTGTAAGGAATGCTAAAAACCTTCCTAAACTAAAGAGGATGAATTATCAATTTTCATTCCTTGATGATTCAAAAGAGGAGGAATCGCTATTAATGCTCTACAGAATTGCAAAATACACTATTGATTCTAATATAACTTCAAAGAAAGATATTGAGGCTCTTGGTAGATCACTCAGGTTCAAAATAGGTATTTTCTTCCAAACCTTTAGACAAATATGGATATATCTCGATCGAAAATGAGATTGACGCAATTGGGAGAGCAATAGACATGCTTGAACAATATCTTTCCCAGAAAGATCTAGGTAAGATCCATCTGACATCTTTAGATATCCCAGAAGATCTTGATCAGCTTCCTTACAGACAAAGGATCTCATACTACTGTGCGATAGACCAGAGGAATGTGATCCTCTGGCACATCACAAATCTTCATGGAAGACTCCAGCTGTTATTAGAAAAATCAATTGAGGAAGAATAGTAGATATAACCCATGAATATTTGCAATTATGATATTGAAAGAGGGGTTTTGGGGTTTTGGGGTTTTGGGG